TATTAAAATTCATATATATCCTAAATGTGAAAGGAGTAAAAATAATTTTGAATTCATGATCACATTTCTGTATACAAAAAGTGTATGTTGATTTTTATTTAAAGCAAGCATAAAATGCTCTCATGTTAAGAAATCAGCAAGGTATCCAAACCAAAACAGTAGTGGAGATAATTGGTGAGGATTTTATGCATCACTCCTTCTCATCTGTGAAGAACAGCTGCTGTATAGTGAAATTGGTTCCCACCCAATGTTGAAAAGAGGGCTTCTCTCTCCCATGGCTGGTTTCTGCTTCCAGGACCATCTGAGGACACAGTTTCATTCTCACAGACCCAAACCTTGGGGTTCTGGGTTCAGCAGTCTTTTCTTTTGCTTCTCAGTTGTCCCTCATTTGTAGGACCTCAATCTTTATGTTCTACAGATGAATCTGGAGGAGTGGGGACAACTCCAAACTGTAGCATCTCTGCTGGAGCTCCACCATGTGCCTAATTACGTGCAGGACAGAGGACCAATGGTGATGGATAACAGATGGGGTCATCTCTTGCTAAACCAAACTTGATCTGAGGAATGACACAAGCAGTTACAACCCAATGTATGAGTTCTGTGTTAGGACACAGACTAGGTATGGTGGGAGGGTCACATGAGTTGATATTTTGACTGACATGCTTGGAAGATAAAACAGTGGGACAACATTAGGGAAACTGTCATTCCCATATTAAGAGAACATGTAAAAGGATGCATTTGAACAGCAAGTGTAGCTAGAACTTAGATATTACTTAAGAGAGTCAGGGGAGAGGCTAAGAAGAGAGTCAGGAAGAGCTTTGAAAGATTTACCAAGACATTTAGATGTTAGTTACCCTTAGAATATCCAGTATCCTTAGAAACTGAAAGTGGGAGAATGTCATGATAGTATATTGTTTAAGAAAAAAATCACACTGCTAACATGGTACAGAATGGTTGGCAGAGGGAGGTTGGAGGCCAAGCCATTTGGTTTTTTCTGTCATTCGTAAGAAGGTTGAGCTGTTGTGTTTGGGGCATTTCCAGCCTGAAGAGTCTGAGAGAGTCCTGTCTGGATGGACAGAGACAGGTGGACATGCAATCTGGAGTTCAGGAAAGGGATTTGTTCTGTGATGATGGCTACATTCCTGAAGGAGAGTGTGACACGAGGAAAGAACCACAGTATTAGATTTCTGTCATGCTACTGCTTGTTTTAATTCGGTCCGTGTTCACATTGCTCTCACATTTCTGAATCTGGATTATTGTTTATTTTCATAATTCACAGCTGTAAACTTTCTGAGTGGTGATAACAGGAGGGTTAGAGGAGAATGGAGCTGTGAGGGAAGCTTGGCAATGGCTGCTCACAGGAGTTCTCGTCTCACTCTTTTTGTCTTTCTAGTTCCTTCACTTGTTTTCTTTTCCCTTTCACTTCCTGTTATTCAAATCATGGATTTCCCCAAAGGCTTTTCATGTGGTTGTTTTGGTGAAAAAGAGAATAGTGGTGATTATATTCTCAAATCTCCACCTGATCCTAATTGCATCTTGGCTTTGGAAATCCATGCTTCATCTGAGCCCTTTGGGCCAACATGGTTACAGGTACAGAGTTTCTCTGCCTACTGAAAACGTTGTATGTTTCACTAATATAACTGCTAAGAGGATTTTTTTAAGCACCAAAATAGAATTTTTCCCAAACTTTTATTTTAATGGATCAAATAATGATATTTAAAAAAAATTTCATTTTAAATAAACTTAAACCAGGCTCTTTTATAACACATATCAACCAAGTTAAACTCATTAAGGAGAGGAATAAAAGCCCATATCACTGTTTTTCTTGTTCTAATGTATGTTGGAGATATGCAGAATTTGTTTTAATTATATATGTTAAATATATAATTATTTTTGCCTGTTTAGCATTTTAAAATTATAATATATTTATATATTATTATATATAATTATATATTATTGGCAGGAGGAAGCCTGGTGGTGTCATTGTAGGTTTTGGAAATGATTTCATTGTGTATCTATTTTTCACTTTTTTTAAGGAATGAATTTAGTTGCACAAGTACCATGCATTTTAAACATTAGACATGTTAGTTTGGCAATGTCACTTGATTCTATAAAGATAGCCAATAGTGGAACGCCAATCCAAATAAAAGATGCAGCCAAATGGCTGATGCCCTAATTCATTCCTCCTATCTTTTTCTGTGTTGGAAAACACATGACTATGGGGGAGAAAAAAATGAGCCAAAGCAATATTTGGATTGAATGACTCTTATTTGTTTTCTTTTGAGACAGCACATATATTTATATTTTTAATGAAAATGTATCAACGTATATTACATAAAATGTACCATAAGATGTAAACACGGCACATTTCCTTATGGTATAAAAAAATCTAACTTTTGCTTTAAATTAGCGCCTGCTCAAACAAGTTTTGTTTTTAGTTCCAGTATTTTCTTGTATTTACATTTCGTTGTGGACAACTCAATAAACTTGTGCTCGAATATTTGTGGCTGTGTGTGGTCTCTCCCTGAAGCATCAAGCTTATCACTCTGCTCGCTGATTTACTGTTTTCCTTTATGTAGCAGAAGAATGCAGATGTTAGCTTGATCTAAAGCCTGTTTATAGTGACTTTTATAATGGATACCTAAAGATAAGAACTAAATTTTATAGGACCAGTATTTCAGTCCCCACTTCACCCTATTCTAAATGAAATGACTTCTACATCAATAAGGAACAAAGAGTTTTATCATTAAGATCTGTCACTACGTGCTCCATCTTGCCTTTAGTAAGTGAGAGACTAGAGCCTAAGCAGAGAATCTGAATTAGCAGGTGGAATACATATTCACTTTTAGTTTTATTTGGAGAATGAGATGTGTTTTAATGCAATCTGTATCATTTCCTTAGTCTAAATTCAGGACAGTTGTTTAAGATAAGTAGCAAGTTATGTTTACATAGAAACAGATTTCTGTATAAAGACACCAGTATTTGCCAATTTGTGAAGTGATAAATTCTGCACACTCTAAAGTAGACTTTCATCGATGGGTAAGGAAACAGGGCAGCAAGTATTAAGACAGATATTTCCAATGGGTACTTGTATGATTGAGGGTTTATGGAAAAATGGAATTAAAAGGTAAGCTTATTTTGGCGAGAAAATTCTGGTGAAAAGATTTCAAAATCTGTGGGTAATTTTCACAGTCATTAACTCCTTGAAGGTGTCTCAACTGTACCCATTTGAAAAATCAGCTTATTTTCATCCAATTTCACAAATTTTTTGACGTACTCTTGCTTACATTGTGAACTCAGAGAAGAAGGGTTGTTTTGGGAGTGCACATTGCTTTGGGTGGCAATGGAAGCCACACACACACAGCTTGGCTCTGTCCTGGGAGAACCTGAAGCCTTAGAGGAGAAGGTCCCCGTGAGCTCTCTGCAACTCTGGCCAAGCACTGAATGGAAAAGATTGGATCTGCCACAGCACTGGGAAAGCACAGTGCAGAAGGCAGAAGGAACTCGGGCAGAGTATGGCGTGATGGATACCAAAAAGAAAGCAGGGTTCCAGAGGCAGAAAGGAGTGGCTGTGCTCAGCTGCTTCTGCAGGTACTGCTGCTTTCTGGGAAACTAAGTGGTCCAATGGTTATGCTGGAAGCAGATTGATGTGAGTGTAGGTGGAGCAAAGGAGACTCAGGTGTGGGAATTTGTGAGGGGTCTGATGGACTGAAAGGACAGGGGATAAGATGGAAATTAGAGAGAGAGGTGAAGTCGGGAGCAACTGTCATTTTAGGACGGCCAACATGTGACAAAAGTCAATGAGAAAAGCAGCATTTGTGCCCGAGAGATTCAATACACAAAGAAAATGAAGAAGAGGAATATTAAAACAGGAACAACAGCCAATTTCTTTTGAGTACTTTTCTAGGGCATGGTGGTACATGGTAAACCTACATCCTCATGTTTAGTTCCTGGATTACTTGCATATTGTGGATGCTGTTTTTTCTCTTTTGGTACATCTCCTTTTAAAATTTGAATTCTAATTAGTTGTTAACAAGCAATCTGATTTGTAGATAAACTTTTGATATTCTGATATTCTCTTCCTGTGTCTCTCCCTCCCTCCCTCCCTTCCTCCTCTGCTTTCTCCCCCACCCCCCTCCCATCCTCATTAGAGAAGGAAGTGAGACATGAGTGCTAACTTGAGTAGCTTGCTCCACACATTCTTTACTATCAAGTGATGGATTAGTTTACTGACTTACAGATGGAACATTCCGAAGGCCCATCCCATAACACTCAACAGGAATTTAGGTATTCTGTGCTTCATTTTGTGTATATATTTGGCTTTTTCCCCCACAGTAGAATGCTAGAACAAAAGTGAAAGAGTGAGAGTAAGACCAAGAGAGATATAAAGAGATAGAACTCCTGTTTGCCCATTCACTCCCTAACCAGACACAGTGTGGGGGCTGGGATGGGCTAAAATCAGTGAAAAAAGAAAAAAAGGAGGGCCCGGCGCAGTGGCGCAGTGGCGCAGTGGTTAAAGTCCTCGCCTTGCACACCCGGGATCCCATATGGGCGCCGGTTCTGTCCCGGCAGCCCTGCTTCCCTTCCAGCTCCCTGCCTGTGGCCCGGGAAAGCAGTCGAGGACGGCCCAAGGCTTTGGGACCCTGCACCCGCGTGGGAGACCCGGAAGAGGCTCCTGGCTTCGGATCAGCATAGCATCGGCCATTGCGCTCACTTGGGGAGTGAATCATCGGACGGAAGATCTTCCTCTCTGTCTCTCCTCTCTGTATATCCGCCTTTCCAATAAATAATAATAATAATAAATCTTTAAAAAAAAAGAAAAGAAAAAAAGACTAGGGGACACTGCAGCCACAGTTAGAGAAGGACAAAGGGAAGGCAGAATGAGTTGCTGCAGGGCAAGTTTAAGGGGGTGATGGGGGACGTTCTCCACTCTTCTTTCCCTGTGAATTCCCGCTGGCTGAACTTCTGGCAATCATGATTCCGTCTTGTTGCTTTCGTAGGGCATAATGACTACATGTGTCCAGCCACCAACCAGTGCACGATTGACAAAAACAGGAGGAAGAGCTGCCAGGCCTGCAGGCTCCGGAAATGCTACGAAGTGGGGATGATGAAAGGAGGTAGGTGTCTGTGATGCAGGTGCCTGATACAGATGGCCTTGGGTACCTCTCCGTGCTGTGTCTGTTTCAGTAGCCATTGGTAGTTAATGTTTTCTCATCTAGTTAGCTTTCTCCCATTCTTAATTTTCTTTACCACACAAATATTTACCTAGTATATTTCATTTTTTTTAAAAAAAATTGGAAGCATTTGGAATCAGAAACTCTGTCATGCCCATGTTTTATATTTTCAACATAAATAATTGTGTTTTAAGCCAAAAATGTGTGGGAGGTGGAGGAGAAAGAGGAGGCAGACTGTTCAGTGAATTATTCAAGAAATATTTTTCTGTTGCTGTTTCTGTTGCTAATGCTAGAAAATGATCATTGGATATGGATATGTGCTTTCCCGAAGTTGAAACTACTCCATGTGAAGGCTAAACAGCTAATTTATAAGCATTCAATTTCTTAAAATGTCCAAGGAAATTTGAATTTCAGCCAAAGGCAGCTTTGTCCTTTAGAAGCCTTGCAAACGTCTAGCATGATATTGGGAACTGTTCATGACTGGAGCGTAGACAGCTCCCAAGCCCTTGGCAGTCAGGCTGTGGGCCCGTGTGCATAGGGTTTGCGCACGTCCCTGCCTTTGCATGGATCCAATCTTCTTCTCATTAAAATAGAATGCAGATGCTTGGTGGGAAGGAAGGGAGGGACAGTGATTGTGCTGACCTGCTGATGGAACTAGAAAAGGGCTTTCTTAAGAAGGCCAGTGGTGTCATAGTGTGAGTTTGAGAGAGCAAAGTTACAGCAAAAGAAGAATTGCAGAAACTAGCTAATGCTTTATTTATGCAAAGATGAAGAAAGAGGAAAAACACAGAAATAAGAGCAAGAAATAGACATGCTTGTTTGTACCAGTATCTGCATACACTGCATGTTTAGTTCAGGGGTCTAAGTAAGCCCACTGGCTTGAGATTTTGAGTATAGCATTTGACATAAATTTGGTAAATAGAGGGCATTTATACATTTGGTGAGCTTGATCTGTATTTTTTTTAAGCTTTATTATTTGTATTGGAAAATCAGATATACAGAGAGGAGGAGAGACAGAGAGGAAGATCTTCCACCCACTGATTCACTCCCCAAGTGACTGCATCTACTGGCGCTGAGCTGATCTGAAGCCAGGAGCCCAGAGCTTCTTCTGGGTCTCCCACATGAGTGCAGGGTCCCAAGGCTTTGGGCTGTCCTCAACTGTTTTCCCATGCCAGAAGCAGGGAGCTGGATGGGAAGTGGGGCTGCTGGGATTAGAACTGGTTCGCAAATGGGATCCTGGCATCTGCAAGGTGAGGACTTTAGCCGGTAGGCTACTGTGCTGGGCCTGATCTCTAGGCTTTGAATGTCTGAAAAATCAGCCTTAATCAAAGGATAATTAATTCTAATCATTTAAGAGCCACATGCAGAAAATGACAATTTGATTCGCAAATTGATTAAATATTTGAGCAATTCATCTTTGTACTGTAGGAAAAATAATTTTAGTTAAACTCACCAAAAACTTAGGAAGGTAGCAACTTGCTAAGTAACAGAAATAAGACAGCTACCTGAGAACAGTTTTATCTGAAGTACTGGAGGCTAAGCTGAATACTGTTTCCTGGAAATTAATGATAGATTAAGCAGCGGCTCTCTGGAAACTACGATAATCAACATGTGAGTGTGCACAGAATGTGTTTTTTTTTTTTTCAAGCATACATTGGCTTGAATGTATAGAAATCCTTATTTTTTCCCTCTAGCTATCTGGATGCTGTTATTATAAATTGTAAATCCTCATTTTTAACCTAACAAAAATTCTAATATGCAAAGAAATAATAATGTAGATAATTTACACACAGCTGGTCTTTGTGAGCATGCAAACACTAGCATATGTATATTTATGACTGTAAAATAAATATCCATGTTCAGTTTCAGGTCTACCGTAGTGAAATACCACATACTGGGTAGCTGGAACAACAGAAATCAGTGTTCTCCATGGTCCTTGAGGCGGGAAGTCAAAAATTGAGATCTTCAAATGGCCTTTTCTGTGCTCGTGCACTCTCTGGGGGTACTGATCCCGTTGATTAGCCCCTAACCTTATAACCGCACTTAGACGTGTTTATCCCTGGAAAGGACTAGTCTCCAATTATAGTCATATAGGGAGACTTTGACCCCAAACCGGCTGCAGTCACAAAATCCCGCGAACTGAATGGCTTAGTCATAAATTAATGTTCTCCCGTTGGTGGAGGTTGCGGTCAGAGATTGAGGTCTCAGGGTTGGTTCCTCCCGAGGTTTCTCTGCTTGGTTACACAGGGCCACCTTCTCCTTTGTCCCCAGATGGCTTTTCCTCTGCTCTCACAGTCCTGGTGGCTTTCTTAGGAAGACGTCTGTCATGTCAGATTATCATCCTAAAACTAGGATCTCATCGAATCTTAATGGCTTTATAAGGCCCTATATCCAAATACAATCTCATTCTGAAGTCCTGGAGGTTAGGATTGCAACAGGAATTTCGGGGAGACAAGCAGATACATATCATGAAGACTTATGTATTTATGTCAGTTTATATACTCTAAAGCCAAACTAATAAAGCTGTAGAATTTGACCAATTCATTTTACAGATAAGTACACAAAGCAGAATAGCTTGTTTTATGTCCCATTACGTAGGGTAGTAAGCACATAGCCTCAAGACACCTTATATAACAACTCAATATCTCACTGAATGTTTGTTATAACTGGAAGCACAATGATAACTAACATTTGTCGTTTAAAATTAATAGTGGTAACTTAATGCATCTATACAATTTTTTTCCACTGACTTTACATCAATTTGTTTCTTAAAGTAGTTACCAATGAGGATATGAAATATTTACATGTGGGATAAAAAGTTTGGTTTCAGAACCTGGCACGGTGGCCTAGTGGCTAAAGTCCTTTAAAGTCCACGCGCCGGGATCCCATATGGGTGCCAGTTCTAATCTCAATACTCCACTTCCCATCCAGCTCCCTGCTTGGGGCCTGGGAAAGCAGTTGAGTACGGCCCAAAGCCTTGGGATCCTGCACCCATGCGGGAGACCCAGAAGAAGTTCTGGGTTCCTGGTTTCAAATCAGCTCAGCGCCAGTAGATGCAGTCATTTGGGGAGTGAATCAGTGGGTGGAAGATCTTCCTCTCTGTCTCTCCTCCTCTCTGTATATCTGACTTTCCAGTAAAAATAAATAAATCTTAAAAAAGCTTGATTTTTAGATAAGAGAGATTGCATACATATTCCTATGTTTATAGCAAGGAGAAATAAACTTACTGAAGAATGATTCTAAACATTCAGGAATGCACGATTATCTACATGATTGAATCTGTTTTCATGTTGGAAAGCCTATAATTCCTGCAAATATTGAAATCCTTGTGAGATTATGTTCTGAAGCATTAGATGCAGAATGTAAGATGTGGCTTAGAGGGCGTGCTTCTGCATCTTAATGCGTGTGTTGGGCTTTCTGTCTTTTTTTGGTTTTTATTCTACATCTGTCTCCATCCCCTTCTACTTAGACTGTGGATTAAATGGCTCTGCAGGGAGACCCTCCTTGGTTCTGTGCACAGGTTGCATGTTTATGCTCTGGGTTTATAGCGAGTAGTTTGTATCTGAGTCCCAATGACTGCTGCTGTACAATGTCTGTCTGCCTCCATAGCCCATTAATCCCACGATGAAGGCTGCCTCTACTGATCCAGCCACTAGACGTTAAGTCCCAAAGCAGGTATTTAGTAAAATGTGTTTGTGTGAATTAATTAATTGATGCGATTTATTCAAGCAGTTATTTGTTTAGAGTAGATTTCACCCACGTTACTTTGGATAAAACAAGCATAAATAAGAGACTGGTCCCTTCTGTCAAAGTCTTCATTGTGCAAAGAGGATATTGGCATGTGAAGACTTGACTGAGTGGAAAGACGGTTCGAATAGTTGAAATCCAGGCTGGAAATCCAGAGTGTTGGTTAACCAGTCCTGGCTTTATTCCAACTAGAATATTGCACAGGTCATCTCGCTTACACGTTATATATACCAAGACATTTGTATTCAGACAGTGGCTGTTCCTGATGCTTGCTGAGCAGCTCAGTTAGTCACATTGTGAGCTTCCTTGTCCTCAGACATGGGATGCAATTACGTGGCTTATACTTAACCAATTTGTCGTGCTGATCCGAGATCACAACATGTGAGACTATGAACTTAAATTACTGTGTAAGTGTTAAAAGTAATGCCCCATCTCATTGAACTTTACCATATCTGAGTGTTACTGCTTTTTCAATTAAAATAAAAATGTTAATTGTGTGACTTTTACTGTGAGTAAATATCTCATTTCTTTGTAGAGAATAAAATCTGGCTTAGTTGTGATCATGAGGCTGTCAAGCTCTTGGTGTAAACTTGTGCTGACGGATAAACAGAGTTCAGAGTCACTTATGCCCTCAGTTTATGCCTTTGGGAAAAATCATACAGATAAAGAGCAGAAAGAGTATACAATCTTCAGGCTCTTTGGTAAATTTATGGTGAAAGTGGTTTTGTAATTTCTGATGATTTATAAGATTCTTGTATGATTTTTCAGTACAACGGGGATGGATATTTTCATTCTAAATGTTGACTGTAATTGAGTTGGGGCAGGAGACAGCACCAGCCGTGATTTCTTAGACATCTGTTTTTTTTTTTTTTTTTTACGCGTTGGGTTCACATGCTGGATATACTTGTAGGTTGAGTAAGATTGGTTACTATTTTATAATTCCAAATATTTCATTAATTTTTGAAGGTTTTTCCTTATAATACCTTCCAAAGGTGTGTTGGTAGCCAGGTTTTCATTTTGTCAATAATCAGATGGGCACACAGAAAGTAATCAACGTGCTGGACTCTTGCATGGCGCTTTTGGGTTATGATTCCTTGGTTTACGTGAAAGAGAAATTTGAGTCAAAGTAGCGGCTGTCTGCTAGTTCTGGTTTATTTTGGTTATAGTGCCGTGATGTAATTTTTGGAAATATTCTA